TTACTTTCTTGGGCTCCATGATCACTGCAGATGGTGACAGCAGCCACAAAATTAAAAAATGCCTGCTTCTTGCAGGAGAAACTTAGACAACATCTTAAAAAGCAGAGACATCACTCTGCTGACAAAGGTCCGCATGGTCAAAGCTATGAGAAAAACCACAGCTTTGACTATGCGGACCAAACTACTTGGTTTTTCCAGTAGTGATATATGGAAGTGAGAGCTGGACCATAAAGAAGAATGACTGCTGAAGAATTAATGCTTTTGAATTGCTTTTGAATTGTGGTGCTGGAGGAGACTCTTGAGAGTCAACCGGAAAAGAAAGGAGATGAAACCTATCAGTTCTGAAGGAAATCAACTCTGAGTGCTCACTGGAAGGACAGATCCTGAAGCTGAGTCTTCAATACTTTGGCCATCTAATGAGAACAGAAATCTCCATGATGTTGGGAAAAAAATGAAGGCAAGAGGAGAAGGGAACAACAGAGGACGTGATGGTTGGACAGTGTCACTGAAGCTACCAACATGACTTTGCCCAAACTCTGGGAGGCAGTGGAAGACAGGAGGGCCTGGCGTGCTCTGGCTCATGGGGTTATGAAGAGTCAGACACGACTTAACAACTAAACAACAACAACAACAACAACAACAACAACAACAACAACAACTCTTATCTCCATATTCTCAGTGTATTCGTCTACCTGCCTGAAATGGTTCAGTAATACTTACGTAAATGCTGGGAACAATGCCCTGGTTTGAGGATCCTTCAAAACAGTATACACTTAATGCTGAAACCTTCCTAGGAAATACCTTCAATTAAGAAGTCCTTAGCATTGGCCAGATTACACCCAATATATAGGAACTTTGCAAAGATACATGAGAAGTTCTTTGCTAATCCCTACCACTACTGGCGTGTGCTTTAGGAGAGTAACGCCTACTGTTACATCTGCTCGGACCAAAAGAAGCTCTGAGCACAGGTAGGAGAATCATCCCACCATTGATCAGATGAGGCTAGTGGATTCTCCTTTCTATGCAGACAGTGAAAACAACAGCCTGAGGATAGGGAGATAGATGCCTACCTACATAGATGTCTTCTGGCAACACTCTAAATGTCTGATAGTGGGGCTGTGGAGGTGACAGTAGGAGAGAGAAACAGCAGCAAAAGGAACAGTAGGAGAGGAAATGACAGGAGTTGTGGGTGGTTTCAAAGGGTTGAAAGTGCAGTGAGGGCTTGAGGTGGAAGAGGCTATGACAGTAGGGATCAAGATTACGAGGAAAGGGATTAGGAAGGATTTAGTGGTGCACCGGAATCAATGGTGTCGAGAGGGAGGGTTTGGGGGGAGATTATGGCTGTGGGTTGGAGGAAAATGATGGTCCCAGCACAATGGCCCTTGCACCCCACCCCACAGCCCCACAGCTACTTACACGTGCAGGGAGAGAGCACGGCCCCGGTACAGACTGAAGGCACTGCCGTAGGGGTCGCTGCCTAGAGACAGGCTGTCCTCGGACCCCGGGGCCACGCCAATCAGCTCCGCCCGTGATGCCCGCACCAGCGGCTCCACCCCCAGGTGCCGGGCCTCGGCAGGTGCTTGCCTTGGAATGCTGGGGTGCAGGTAGGGTCCCCTCACCGTGGGGCCAGCCTCCGGGTCCTTCTCCAACACCGTGTTTTGGCTTCCTGACCAACTAGAGTGCTCCTCTGTTTGGGACAGTCCTGCCAATGAGGTTGGGGTTGTCTTCATGGAGGCATCCACCAGCGTGTCCGACTCCCCTGCAAAAATACAAGCAAGGATTTGTTGAAGGAGCTGGAAACTCTCATCCCTACTCCTTTCATCAGATTGTGGCTATGGGCTAAGGCTGGAAGCCAGTGCTAGTGCCAGCTGGAGGCCTGGGTTGAAATGGAACTTCAAGGCCAGCTCTCTCATTAGGCAAAGTGAGGCAACTGTCTGAGGAGGTAGATATTTGATATCATACAAGGGCAGCAAACTGCTAGTTATTTGATTTGTTACTATTTTATTATGTTTTTTTAATTGGTAAAGATGGGGAGAGGACCTTGGGGGATTTTCTGTCTCCTGTAGTGAAACAATATGACAGAACTGAGTCCTATGCTCTTTAATGTAGGTCAAGGGGCACGATTTTCTACTTTGTCTTGGGCAGCAAAATATATCTGATTTCCCATAACTGATAGAGCGACAGAAGCAATAATGAACATCCCAAGCCTGTCTAGAGAAGAGCTTCTAATGTTCTCTTATTTGATAGATATTATTTGATTCAGGAGACTATAAAATGTCAACTTCTTGGGGCATGCAGTACCGTTAAATATATAATGAGTAAGTATAAGGTCATGCTCCTGGACACTAAAAATAAGCATTTTTCTCTTAGCTGAGGACTCATCATGTGGAAAGGACAAAGAAGGGGAAAATAGAAAAAAAAAAGAAGGGGCGGGAAGGGTGAACTTTGGTTGGTTATTACATTCCACAATCCGCAAGATCAGAAATTTGCCGGAATAGGGAAGATTATTTCTTTTAATGTATATAAATTAATATTTATAAAGTATTTTAAAATATGGACAATACGCTAAAGTCATTGTTTAATCTGCTCTCCCAATGAACTTGTGAAATAGGTTCTTAATTTGCCCACTTCTCAATAGAACTCTCTGGACTATATTTCCCAGAATTTCTGAAACAGTCTAGCTGTACCAGCAGGGAGACGCTAGGAGTTCCAACCCAAAAACGTTACCTTTCCACCCCACTCACCTCCCAAAAAGCCAATAGCTTTTCCAAACTATCTATTGAATCTATGGCTGATGAGGAAATGAATCTTAGTCAGAGGAATGTACTATACACCCAGAATCAGGGTGCTTTGTACCAGTCACAGAGAAGAACTCATTTATGACATATTTTGCCCAATCTCTAAACTGAAGCCTGCCAATTGTGTGGGCACGAATATTATTACTGTTGCTATTCTCATCATTATTGAGATGACCAGAAGAATGGAAACCTATGTCACAATGGAAAAAGTCGTGTATTACTAAATCTAGAGGAGATTTCTAACAGCAAATGGTATGACTAGAATAGTACCATATTGTATGCATAATGGCAGTATATCATAGTTATTTTAAAACTTGGTGTGCCTGCAGAAATTTTGCATACCTTATTTAATAATTTAGACTTCATTCCATTTGGCTGCTTGGTCTCAGTCCATGTAGCAGTATCAGAAAAAGCTTAACAGTATCAGAAAAGCTTAACATAACGAAATGCCCCGTTTTATGAAGAATTGGTAGGAAGTCAGTCAAAAGAAAATTAATTGCTGGCCAGGATGTATGATCATGCTAGAATCACTCTTCTCTCCTCACCTCTTTGCTTTCTTATTCCAGGAACAGTGTGATGCTTCAGGAATGCTTAATGTCATCTCATATAGCCTTCCCACATTAAGTCCCTGCAGTAGTTAAGGAACTGTGATTTTTCAGTCATATTTCACTATTATCTTATGACCTTTATGCTTTGTTAAGTCCTTGATAAAAAAAATTGCCCTCTTTATGAAATTAATGTTCTGCCTCAGTTAGTATCTACCTGCTTCCTTGAGATGGTGGTGTCAAACTCACTGTCTCTCTCATGTAAGTCTTATGCTCCAGTGGCAGCTGCCAACGACACTGGAGAGAGGAGACGCTCTCAGATCAAGGATCCAAGAGGGTGGGATTCCCATTACAAGAGTAATCTCAGTTCCTATGGGTTGTCTATCCTTTTTTCAGAGGATAAATAGAAAGAAGGAGGTCTATGTGTAGGTGTTGATATATGTCAGGTGCCATTTGCTTTAAAACATCATTGAGAGGTATCTTAAAAATCCGAGCGAAAGATCCTAAACCAATAGCCTAAGAAATAAGCACCCTAAGAGCTGGGCCTCTCGCAGGAAGAACAGAAAGTGTGTGTGTGAAACAGCAGCCTTTCCATGTCAAGCAAAGAGAAAAGTACAGGGAGAAACTATAGTGGGTTTATGACAGCATAATCAGGTAAAAGGAGCTGGATACCAGCAGAAGCTACTTCAGGTTCAAATACAGTTTTTATCACTCTGCTTGTAACATTTTGGCAAAGCTCTCCAGCTCCTGACTGGCTCCTGCTCACCTGTTGGGGAGCTGTAGGTTGTCTCATCCTGGAGCTGGCTGCGTTGGGTCACCTGTGTGCTGCTGGCATCATCTTCTCCCGTCTCCGAGTCTAAAGGGAAGTAAGAACAAGATAAGAAAGGCGCTTTGCTAGGTAAGTCAGTTCACACTTTCACATGTGACTCATAAGTACTTGGTAAGATCTGGAAAATTCAGCTGGAAGAGCAGGGGGAAGAAGAGAAGGAGAGCGGGTGTTTCTAGTTGTGCAGATAAGTTTGGAAGTATGACATCATTGAAAGGTTCAGACACCAGCAGGAGGCAAGTCATAAGAACTCATCCAAACTTTCTGACTCTATGATTATTAAGTAACTTTTAAGGAACCAGCTTAGAGGACAGAACGTTTCAGTTAGAGAAAAACTAGGTTTTTCAGCCAGCCCAACTAGTTAGAAATATGGAAAAAGCAAGCATAGAACTAGACACACTTAGAAGCAAGCTGCTTAGAAGGAAGCTTTGCCCATTTTTTCTAAAACGGGCAAAGACAACGAAGCCATCAGTTTCAGGCAGTACATTTTGCATAACATGGATGTTTTTTCAAGATGCGTTCTATCCGTGATTTCTATCTGAATCATATAAGCAAAGTACACAGAAAGAAATCAATAAACGTTAGGAAAGCTTGTAACCAAAAACAGGAGAAAGTTGTCCCTTAAACATTATAGACTGAATGTTAAACTTCCCTATAATTATTACCGTACTACTTATCTAATGTTGGTAAAATTAAAGCGGGAGGAGAGACAAGAAAGGGAAAATACAGTACTGTGGCATTTTAAAAACAGAGATTTAGTTCAGTGCAAACTTTTGTGGACTAAAATCTTCTTCAGACACAAGAAGTGCAAATAAATATCCTCTGTAATTAATAATATATATCATCACAGTGTTGAGAGTCATGAGCACGTAAGGTTACAGATAATAGGCAAAATGGCAACGGCTCTTAACCCAGGAACGGGACTATCAAGCTGTTGATTGCTTCAGGTGGCAGGCCTTAGCCAGGGTGATAAGCTACATGATAGGTTGACTTGGCTGTTGCAGACATGCTAAAAGTTGTTTCTTGAACAGAGGTCAGAGTCTGTCAAGGGAGACAAGTAGTCATAGTATACTCATAAGATATTACAGAAAACAGGATTCTCGATAAATGTAGTGTGCTAAGAAGCGCTGGTATCTATTTAAGTCTTTAGAGGAGTGCTGGAACTTGTTTACATAGCCAGTTTTTGTTGTCTCCTTCTTGAGTTTCCTTTTGCAGTTGCTTTTTCAACAACAGTCACTTGAGATCTATAAAGGAAGTGTCTTGGGAGGTTGAAGTGCTCTGATACTGCTTTCTCTGTGTTGCCTTTTCTGATGGCACATTTGTGTCCATTCATTCTTTTGCACAGAGATTATCCTATTTGTCTTATAAAAAATCTGAGGGGTCATTCCTGGCAGAGGCTGGCATAAGTCACATTGGGTATGTACAAGTAAATATATCCACCACCCCAAGGTTGTGGTTGATGTTGTTGGTGCTGCTAGTGTAGATATGGGGACATAATTGGCATCTAGGTTTGTGACAATTTTAGTTGTCCATTGCCATTTTGTGTTGCCTGTTGTGCGTCAATGGCTGTTAAAGCTGGGGAGCTGTCTGTAGGCAAGTACAGGCCAGCTCTGCAAAGCCTGGAAGACGGAAGCACTGTTGTCCAGAGTAGGCTCCAGGCTATTGATGGTACACCTTAGTGCTCTCAACTGGGACCTAGAGATGATCTGATGGAGGAAGAAAGCAAGAAGAAACTGACCACATAAAGTTCCAGTTCATCTGTAAGGACCTAAATGGAGATCAAGGCTTCTGGAATACTACATACAGTATATTAATAACCCAGCTTTCTGTAATGTTTTCTGGATATAAAACAACTATCTCCCTTGACAGATTCGGACCTCTGTCCAAGAAATATATTTCAGCATTTCTGTGACAGTCAATTTTACCTGGCGTTCAGCTTATCACTCTAGCTGGGGCCTGCTACCTCAAATCATTAACAGCTCCATAGTCCCATTCCTGTTGTCACTTTGCCTATTTATGTGTCCTTACCTCGTTGTGACTCTCCCCACCATGGGAATATTATATATAAATACAGAAGACATGCATTTGCATTCCTTGTGGGTGAAGGGATAGATTTTTATCCAGGGAAACTTGTACTGAAACAAATATGCCACAACATCTTGCTTCCCCTCTTCTTAAAGTGCCACAATATCTTGATTACCCCTTATTTTCTTTTTCCTCTCTAATTTTTCCAACATACAGTATTAAGACAGACTAGCACAGCTACTTTGCTGGAAATTTCTTTTCTAATGTGTCTACTCTTTCTCTGGTGACTCAATCTGACAAGCATATACTGTAAAGAAATCCTCTGGATGCTAGTACAGTAATCACAGCTAAAATTTAGACATAAAAAATAAGACATAAACCCTTACTACAGCTAAGGCTGGTGAAATGGTGGGAAGCTAGTACAAATGTCAGTGCTTATGGAATATGTTCAATCAAGGGGTGTCGGTCAACATTCAGCATCTGCTCAAACTAGAGGGTTTTATGAAGAGACGATAGAACTGTTTGCAACTAAATATATGAATTTTTATATATATATTTCTTTTAAAGAAAAAGCTGGAGGGAGGATTACCCCTTTGTTCTACAACTACCTCAGAACAATTCCACTGAGTAATTACAGACTGTCCCCTCTTGAAGGACACAAGAAGGCCATTCCATATTCCCAGAGAAGGGCAGGATAAAAATATAAATTAATAATTCTTTGGAGCCAGACTCTGAAGCACATATAAGACTGAGCAAACTACAGAACCCTGGAGTACCTTCTCTTTCTGGCTTGGTAGGTTGGGGGGCAGGAGGAAGGTGGCTCACTTTTCTGGCAGCTGCAGCTCACTGCCTTCCATTGGAGCCTTCACCCAGGACTGAAGGTCAAATATTAGTAGGGATGTATTTCTTCTGATTAATCCATTTTCTTCACAAATGCAGGTCTTAGCAATTAGAGACGCTAATTAACCCTAGTTTACCATCTAGTGACCAGACACTGAACAAAACATGCTAAATGCAAGATATGTAGGCGAGGAAAATAATTTGGTGTGGCAAAACACACGCCTTTCATTACCTGATGGAACATCTATTCTAAAAACTTGCTAAATAGTTAGTCTGACTTTAAGAGAGGCAACAGGGAAGATTACAATCAAGCGACCATTGAAAAATCAGGGTGGCAGGACATTGTTCAGCAGTACATTGAAAAAACCAAGCAATATGAGTTAAAAGAAAAATGAAAAACTAAAGAGGCCCATGCTTTCTATTGAGGAAAAGAGGCACAGAGTGAATTACAGATGATATTAAGCAGAACAATTTATTGTTAAAAGATTATTTCCCAGCCTTCTAGTGTTTTCACACTGTTGAGGGTAGCTAACAAAATTAAAAACCAACGAAGTGAGGGAATAACTAATTTAAGCAAACAATATAAAAACCATAGTGACTAGATATGTTATGCTATCCTTTCATCTGCTCCTTCTTGATGGATGAAAGACAATAAACAAATCCCAGAGAAAACACACACACACACACGCACACACACACACACACACACAGAGAGAGAGAGAGAGAGAGAGAGAGAGAGAGAGCTGTATGTATTATCTAACTGTATGATCTGATCCTTGTTTTCCCATATATACCCTGTTTCCCCAAAAATAAGACCTAACCTGAAAATAAGCCCTAATATGATTTTTCAGGATGCTCATAATATAAGCCCTACCCCCAAAATAAGCCCCAGTTAAGTGAAAGCCTGCCCTCCACCATTGTGCAGCAACCAGAATAAGATGACATGAATATATTTGAATAAATGTAGATTGTTGTAGATGAAACAAAAAACATCCCCTGAAAAAAGCCCTAATGCATTTGTTTGTTTTTTGGAACAAAATTTAATATAAAATCCTGTCTTATTTTTGGGGAAACACGGTAGACAATAGAATCTTACATTATTGTATAAGGAAATCTTCCATCATTAAGCACATACTAAGTTATAAACAATAGACAGTGTTTAAATAAAGAAATGTGCATAGAAGACTTCTTTTTCTACCCAAGCACAAAGGGATTCACACTCCAAACTACTAGAAGACTATGAAGCTGCACATCAATATCAGAAAGCAGCAAGAGGATGAAGAAGGAGTAAGGAGAAATGTAAGCACAATGGAGATCGAACGAAGAACAGGTCAAAGAAAGGAAAATTATGGTGAAATAGCATTTTTCCTACCGTAACTTTGTTTTCTGCAGGAGCGGAAAACTTCGCTTCCATAGGGGCAGCATGAAAGAGAGACACACGTCAACAACACATGACCACCCAAACCAGACCTGAGCCATTAATATCCCAAAATGCAATGAAATTGACAGTATCTCACCTGGAAGACCCAGGTAACTTTGGGAGAGGGAACATGCTGAGAGAATGGTCAACAGGGTAAAGCATACAAAGCTGTAGCAAGAGAAGGTCTGAATAGCAAAGGTGTTGATGGTACATGAACCCAGGCACTAAAACTCCTAAGGACCAGAGCAGCCGAATGCAGTAGATAGGCTCACTGAATGACAGGCCAGTCAGAGAAGTCAGTAATGCCTGGGGCTAGGGGGAAGGCAGTCCTGTGACAGACATTTCGTTGATAATCCCTGCTGTGTTTTAGAAAGTCTGGTTTAAGTTTATAATCATAGAAAGCATATTATCCTCTCCAAATAAGCTCTCCCCTGCTCATTCTGCCACTGGCTGCAATAGCCTCCACCTGTGTGTGAACCTAAGAGCCATAGCAACAGAAGCACTGAATGGGCAAAGTGGATAATGTTCACTACCTCCTTATAGGACCATTAGTGCAATCCATATATGTGTGCATTCAGAACTAGGACTGGCTGAAAATTCAGTGATACAAGTCCTAGAGAAGTGAATATAGGATTGCAGTCTATAAAAATTAATTTGCTGAATCAAACCAAAGTCCACTTACTCGAGTATGTATTCTGTTTCTAGGCACGCATCTTCAGTGCCAGATCAATATTTAGTGTTGATC